TCTGAACAGACGGGACGCCTCCAATATCATACAAGTCCGCCATGTAGTATTTTCCACTGGGGGAAAGGTCAGCAATGAATGGAATCTTGTTACTGACCCTCTGAATATCATCCAGAGTGAGTTCCACGCCAGCTGTCCGAGCCATGGCAAGGAAGTGGAGCACACCGTTGGTGCTTCCTCCAAGAGCCATTGTCATGACGAGGGCATTTTCGAAGGACCGCTTAGTCAAAAGATCACGCGGTCTTATATCCTTTTCCATGCAAACTTTAATCGCTTCCGCCACCTTGACGCACTCTCGCATTTTTGATGGAGATGTAGCGGGGGTGGAAGAGGAGCCAGGCAAAGACAGACCCATTGACTCGATGGCTGTGGCCATTGTGTTCGCAGTGAACATGCCCCCACAAGCGCCCGCGCTGGGACAGGCATGTCTCTCAAGATCATCCATGATCTCATCCTTGGTCTTGCTGGTGTCTCCACCATCGTCCGGTTGGCGCAAAGTATCATATGAATAAGCCCCAGCGGCTTCGAAGCAACTCGAAACGTTGATTGGCTTTCGTAGGAGGTTGGAATACCCAATCTGAATAGTTCCGCCGTAGATCATGATGGAGGGCCGGTTATGCCTGGCCATACCCATCACCACTCCAGGCATGTTTTTGTCGCATCCGGGGATGGCAATGCAGGCATCATGGTACTGAGCGCAAGTTACGGTCTCGACGCTATCCGCAATTATCTCACGCGTTTGGAGAGAAAACCTCATGCCTGTTGTACCGTTAGGTATGTCTCCGGTGGAACTTGCAAGTAGTTCTCCAAGTCACTGACCTTCACTGCCCATGGTGATGGCATCTGAAACGCCAATGGTGTTATATTGCCAACCAATCATGCCCTGACCCTCGACGGACTTCTTCACCGTCTTGCCCATATCCAGCAGGTGCATGTTACACGGATTTCCTTCCCACCACACGGATGCAATTCCTACCTGAGGACTCTTTGCCATAGCGTTTTGGTCGGGAACGCCTGCAGCATAGAGCATTGCCTATTATAAATGGAAATTGCTGTCAGCACGATCAGGGTCAAACACCGGTTGGCGGAGTTTCCAAGTTAAACTACCTACCTTAGCCCCAGGGAAGTCATGGCCTCTAGTGATGGTTGAAGAGTAGCGATTCAGCGCAGGTGTTCCATCCTCATGCTTTGCGCCCTCTGGAAGACAGGGGAATTCGATATATTTCGCTTCTCCAAAGGTTGATGAGACGGCGGGTTTGGAGGGATCCATGGCGAACGCTGAATAGTTCGAATGAAAAATGCCGTTGGATGCTTCAGGACAGTCAAATGACCCTATATCTTAGGTCGACGATAGAGAGGGCTAATACAGCTTTATAAAATATAAAGACGATAGAGCGATGGTGCGGTGGAAGTGAGCCCCTCATCTCCCGGTAAATCGGAGTTGGTACGTTTCTCCGTAAAGAGTATCGGCGATATGTCCGTTGCGGGGGATGTTGAATAATCGGAATTGATCCTATTAGTTGTTGTTTCTGAGGAGTATAATTCAACTGCCCGCTGTGATTTGACAAAGGTCTCGGGTATAAAGTGGGGAACTTCCAATTACCGGTGACGAAGATGGGACCTTACTACTAGTACTCCGTACATTCTTTGTGTATAGTATACTGACTGCATGCAGGTCCACACATGTTTCAATAGGCAGCTCCAGTAGATCCTCAACTCGGCAAATGCACATCAAATTCAAGATCAGTAAGAATCTTATGTATTTGCATACTAGGGCCAAGAAATCACAGCCCCTCTTAAGTCCAAGGGATTTGTATATACCGAAGGAAACATAGGATACTGGAAGGTTACTAGTGCTTTTAGTAAGTTCTAAATAGATAATCAAGAAAAGATGAGGGCCAGTGCAACTGGGTATCTTCGATAAAAGCTGACTCCTAGAAATAATAATAATTCATCGTATAATGTCCATGAGAATGAAATGATTGACGCCTGTCGCTTTCTGCCCAGCATGTTATCCAGCCACACTAATCTGATTCTCGGTCAACCGTAGACCACTGGCCAGAGTGCTGTAGCCCTTCATCTGAAATAGAACCCTGCAGTGGGCCCGATTTCCCAACGGAATCATCCATCCCCTTCTCAGACTCATCACGATGGACACCAGAACCATCGTCTACAGCAAAGCCAACAATTTTTCCTGAGCTTGAATGAGGTCGAGCCTCCTCGAGAACATCGCCGTGCCAGGGTTTGCATTTCTTAACAATCTCACCGCAGCGGAGACATATCCAACCCTCTCCTTCCTCTCCCTCGACCTTTTGCACTAGACAGACGAAGCAGTATACGCAGCCACAAGGGATTGCCTCATAAGGATTTGTAATGTCCGTCTGGGCGGACCCGAGGATTCCCCCAGAGGCCGCCGATGCAGCGATCACTTCGCTTTCTGTTGCGGACTCTGGATTGCTCGCTTTGTAACATATTGCGCAGGTCCTTTCGGGAAGAAATGCTAGCTCTCCTTGCTTCTCAGCTTCTTCGGAGTCTCCATCACTTGATTTGATACTAGACATTGTTCTGCGCCACGCTCGGGATATCCATCGTCGCCATCTGCTGATTCCCACGAGCGGCAGCAGGAACAAAAGGAACTCCGTAAATGCGTGCCACACAAGTTGTCGATTCAAATATTCGAACGACACCTCGCGGCTTGCCTGTGCAGAGGGAGGAGTGAGGCGTATGTGAAGGATACGGTCGACTAATGTTCGGTATCGGCCGTTGACAAGGAATACAAGGAAAGAGATAAAAGCTGCAATCGAGTGTGTCGTGGAAACGAGATCTGTCATACGAGCCAGCATCCGCACTTCTCGGGATGGCTGCTAATATGAGCATAATGGATAACTGAAGGGTCGCCACTAGCACTCACCTCGTCATAGCCTCCTTCTTGGTTGATCAACCAGCTCTCCCATTTCTCCCAGGCGTAGCGACCACCAACTGTGAGTAGGCCATACAAGGATTTCTGCCACTTCGTTGGAGCAGAATGAATCGGGCCCTTGCTACGAGTGTCTACGTACTTCAAATTTTGTAAGGCCGCTCCATAAGATGCGTCGTGATCCCAAATCGAGAGCTTGAACAAGATTGCACGTAGAGCAAATTGGATTTCGTGGGACCAATCCTCACGGGCTTGGGGCTACAATATCGGAATATTAGTGGACATCATACAATATAATGTTGAAGACAGACGAGAACAACCTACCCCGAAGTACTTCAAAGCATTTCCGACTTGCCCTTTCAGTAACCCCAACAGTTCCTCATCCAGGAGTTCAGCATCGACTTGTCCAACGCGGAAAGCAGGCCTATTACCCTCGCGACCTTTTATCGTATTCCATAATGAGAGGCCGGAGACAGGTAATCTATTCAAAGGATAAGGAAGTCTCTGGAACGCAGGATGATTAACCGGGGACGTCCGCTGCTGTTCCGCAAATCTAGCGCGAGCTTCGGCTTCGCGGAGACGACGACGTTCCAGGACGCGCTCCTGAGCAGCGGCAAAATTTGTCGAGCTCATTGTATAATCATGGTGTTTTATCGAGATAAGTCGTTTTGTAAACGAGGGAGTCAACAACTTGAGCGGGAAACGGCCGGCGGTGTTGCGCGGAGGCCAATGCGGTCGGTCGGTTCCCCAGATTGGACTCTGATTGAATCTGCCGAGGTTGAATTGAACCACGTGATCGCCCACGGTTGTGGTGTACTACATAGTATAAAATCAACTGTCATTCTCTGTTCAGCTAGAGGTCAATTCTGATGTGACTAGTCTCTGCCTCTTTTGGGGATGGGGAAGAAGAGAAGACAAAATTTATTTACTGAAGAATACGGGATGTAGATGGCCGTGTATGGTAAAAGGAATAAGCAATCAATGCCTATTCTGAGTGGAACTTTCAAAACTATTTCCAAAAAAAAAAAAATGGAATTTCTTTCTACGCATGTCTCATGGTTGGAGGATGTTTCTGTAATGAGTAAAGGCCAATGAACTTTTTCATTGCGGCGTGCACTTCTAATGTGAGTTCGGGTTCGCAGACAACTATCGTTAGACCCGAAGTAAATCCGGAATCCATACAAAGCTATGAACTTGTATCCGCAATGGAAACAGCTACAGGAAGGACGTCACTATTTTAATGGGGAATCTGACTGGGATATATTCTTTCTAGTGGATTAGGGCAATTAGTTATGCCTTCGGGCTTCACTAAAAGACGGATTATCAAAGAACACCTAGAATCCCACGATACCCATACTACGGCGTCGGAGCAAATCTATGCACGCTAAAAGTGTTAATTTATGCCGTTATGTAAATCTCCGATCAGGTTTTATTGTATATGTACGGAGTACAAGTAAGCATATCCAGTAGCGGCATCACAAGGTGCGTTCAATTGCCTGGTACATCTTCTTGGAGAAGGCCTTTTTCCGCTTCAGTTGCGGTTTAAGCTACTCATATTAGCATGGTATACAATGGACTTGTGTAATAGTATGGGATTGAGAAAGAGAGAGAAATTCGACAAAATCATGAATATTAGCATTCCAAGGCTGTAATCTAAACATATCGGCGGTGACTGTCAACCACAAGTTGAATAACTCTTCAACTTATATAGATAATTCTATCCATTAAGGACTACGCATATTGGCGCGCGTCTTTCTCGAGATGGATGGATATTATAATAGCTTATAGCTGGTCATGCGATAGTTTGCAAATTGCAACCACACTAGCATTAATGAAGTTCAAAGCTACTATATCTCAGTCTATTCCGACCGAGCCGGGCCAGTCAGCCCTGGAGGTATTAGGTGCAGTAGCTACTGCTATCTTCCTGTCTTATCCTGTGCTTCGCTACTGACTCCACTCCGAATGGACAAAAGTAGTACTAGAGTTGTCAACCAGGAGATGGCGCACGTGCTGCCCTCCCAATCCTCTAGACTTTCGGCCCCACCGAGGGCGTGGATAAGCATTCGCCCAGACCTGATTCCGGGACCCACATAGGACCGGAATCTCGAAGTTCTCGCATGGACGACTTCATGTACTGCAAGGGGCCCTAACTTCCTTCCTTCTGTCCCATCTCGCTACCCAATCTCAGACTAGCATTTACAAAACAATGCTACTAAGCGATTCAACTGTTGCCTGCGGTTCAATTAGCCGAAATGGCAGCCGTCGAATGAAACAAGCTTCCCTGACCTCGTGGCTCTAAACGTTCAATTATCTAACTGTCTTGGTGGATACAACCCGCCAGTAGCGCAACATACTACTACTAGGCACAGTGGTACACTGCAATCTGCCCTACCGACCTTGTGCGCATAGCGCATGGTCATATGTGATAGGATTTTCCTCGCTCTTGCCTATAAAGACAGGTGGTCGCGCCCCATTTGCTGATCTTTCCTTGCATTCTTCATCTTGTATCGGCGACAAGGACGATCTCTTGACAAGAAGAGACCACATACAAAATTTCAAAGATGAAGTCCTTCCTTGCAAGTCTATTCGCGGCCTCTTTGGCCTATGCCCAAACGGCCACGGAGAGTGAACCTTCCCTGTCAGACATTGAGAAGGCTGCGGCTACCACAGAGCCCTACTCTCCTGTCTCCAATGTGACTGGCCTGGCCTTTGACAGATTCTTCCAAGTTTGGCTGGAGAACATTGTATGTGGCGTACCCTAAGTCTTATCTTCCCTACATCCTAACGCGTATTTTCAAAGGACTATTCGGATGCGTCTGCCGATGAGAACTACCAATGGCTGGCCAAGCAAGGAATCACTCTGTAAGACTTCCCTCTTGAGACTTGCTCAATTGACACAACACTTTACTGACTATCGAAGCACCAATTTCTTTGCAACTACCCATCCATCTGAGCCCAACTACTGCGCTTCCGCCGGAGGAGACACATTTGGCATGGACAATGACGATTTCAACCAGATCCCGGCCAACGTCTCGACCATTGCCGACTTGTTCGACACGAAACATATTGCCTGGGGAGAGTACCAAGAACATTTGCCTTACCCTGGATTCCAGGGATACAACTACTCCAACCAGGAAACTTATGCCAATGATTACGTGCGAAAGCACAACCCGTTGGTACTGTTTGACTCGGTCACGAAGAACAGCACGCGTTTGCGTCAGATTAAAAACTTTACCAACTTTGAGGACGATCTCGCCGATAAGAAGCTCCCTCAGTACGCTTTCATTACCCCCAACATGACCAACGATGCACACGATACCAACATCACCTTCGCCGCCAAGTGGGAACGTAGCTGGGTCTCCCAGTTGCTCGACAACTCCTATTTCATGGAAAACACTCTGCTTCTTCTCACTTTCGATGAAGACAAGACCTACCCCAAGGGAAACAAGATCATGAGCATTCTCTTGGGTGGTGCCATTCCTGATGACCTAAAGGGCACCACAGATGATACGTTCTATACTCACTATTCGATCATCGCTTCCATGTCGGCCAATTGGGGTCTGCCATCCCTTGGCCGATGGGATTGTGGTGCCAATATTCTTGAAATTGTGGCCAACAAGACTGGCTATGTCAATTATGATGTTGACACTACAAACCTTCGTCTCAATGAGACATACCCCGGACCCATGTCCGCTGGCGATTACTCCAAGTTCTCGCCTGTGTGGCCCAACCCCTTGACCAGTGGTGACTGTTCAGCTGGTCATGGAATTCTGGACATTGTCAAGGAAACCTATAAGGGAACCACTGCGACTTACAACTACACGAGCCCCTTCCCCTACGATTTAAAGAGCGGTTACAATGTCAAGGTCACCGCGACTAAGAAGGGTGCTGGCAACAAAGGATCTTCTTCCTCATCGACCCCTACCCCCAACGTTGCTGTTCCCTTTGGTACGCCCGCTGTCGGATCCATTTCTGGTATGTTGATGGGTCTTCTCTTTTGTCTTTTCTAAGGCAATGTTATGCGATATGTCTCTTTATATGTACTTATTTTAACGACGCCAACAGGCCGTGCTTGAATGCTTTCTATCACAGAGGAAGCAGATTTATAATAATTACACAGATGCTACTGTGAGCACAAAAGAATTAGCATAGTGACACTACCGACTATAGAAAATCGTTAGCTTTTGTATTGAAGCCTGCTTCGATCTTAATACTTATCAGTATTTTCGGTTTATTACATCCATTCTTAGTAGTTGTCAATGTTCTGCGACCCGGATGTAGACTATAGAGGAGCTTTTCGCTCCAATCTCTCGTTCTTAGGCCTCTAGTAGAATTTAGCTAAGAATTGTGATTAAGGTCAAGTTTCAGATTGTATTCATAAATGTAAAATTTGCTATTCACCGTCTCTAAAAAATTCTCGAGTACACTGTATGTGAGCGTATCAAGAACTTGAACTGATCAAAACAGTCTTTGTCTCCAGGTAGCTGTCCAAGCCGCTCAGCAAACCCTCCCGACCCAAACCGCTCTGCTTGTATCCGCCTATTGGCATATCCTTCACCATAGTGGGACTCGTGCAGTTGACACCAACCGTACCTGCCTCGAGAAGCTTAGACAGTCGCACTGCACGATCCATATCCTTCGTGAAAACAGAGGCATAAAGACCAAACTCGGAGGCATTAGCCCGTTCAATTGCCTCCTCCTCTGTCTTGAACGTATTGATGGCCACAACGGGTCCAAAGACCTCCTCTTTCATAAGCTGGGAGTCACCGGGGACGTTCTCAAAGATGGTCGGCTTGATGAAGCCCTTTCCGCCATCTCCTCCCATCGTGAGCTTTCCGTCCTTTTTCCCGACCTCTAGGTATGACTTGACCCGCTCATACTGAATGTTGTCTGCCTGCGGTCCGTGGTTCGTCGTCGGCTCGGGGGGATTGCCTATACGTGCCGCGGCGCCGAACTTCTCCTTGAAAACCGCTATGAATTTATCTGCAACGGACTCCTGCACATAAATGCGGGAGTTCGCGATGCAGGTTTGTTCGCTCGTGAATTGGATGCTGAACTGGGTCTTTTCTGCTGCCTTTTCGATATCCGCATCTTCGAAGATGATTGCGGGTGTTTTGCCGCCTAGCTCCAAGTGGATCACTTTCATGTTCGACTCAGCTGCTGTGATTTGAATTTTTTTGGCCCGTGGCTGTGGAGCCAGTGAAGCTCAGGCAGCGCACATCCATATGGGATGATATGGCACTGCCGGCTGGGCTTCCGAAGCCGGAGATGATGTTGACGACGCCAGGTGGGAAGCCAGCTTCTGCAATCAATTTGGCGGCGAAGCTGACTGTCACAGAAGAGATGTCAGAATGAATGGATACTTGGAGGAGTCGTGACTGGCTAAAACTTACAGTCAAGGGCGCCTTTTCGCTACTCTTTAGCACCGCAGTGTTTCCAGCAGCCAAAGCAGGGGCAACCTTAAACGAGAGAAGTGCGAGTGGCATGTTCCAAGGGATGATAGCACCAACGACGCCGTACGGCTTCCTAAGCGAAAGACTGAGGAGGCCAGGGGTATTCACGCTGCTAGGTCCCTGCGCATGCCAGCCGGCCTCTGCATAGTAAGCAAAGGCGTCTGCAGCCACTTTGCCTTCTATGTAAAGTGATACAGGCTTGCCCATTTTGAGATGGACTCCTAGCGAGCCAATTCAGGCATATTATCCTTAATTAAATATAACAGCTTGCGCAAGTAGACACCTCTATCATCGGGGCTGAGGTCTCTCCAAGCTGGGAAAGCAGCTTTGGCTGCTGCAACAGCCTTGTCCACATCTTGCTCACTTGCTTCATGAACTAAGAGAGAGCTAGCGTCTACTATGAGTAGGTACGCATTGTAGAATTGGTGGCGGATGCAGCAACGGACCGTCTGCAACTGGTTCATGCGTGTATGGGTTGATCAGCTTAAATGTCTTCCCATCCGTCGCTGGTTGAAACTATGGATATGAGTGAGTATGAATCCTTATAATCATGATATTATGACTATATTTACCTGGCCATAGATAAAGAGCCGAGTCTCAATTGGCTGCTGATCAGCGGTAGTAGCCGACATGTTGGCGGGTATGAGATGGGTGCGATTTTGGTTAAAGGAGACAAGCTATAGTAGAGGGGAAAGAGAGCACTTTTATATATTCTGTTAGGCCCGAACGAAAGTGTCTTGTCCAAAGTCCGAGCGTAAGGCCCGACCACAATATTGGATGCATTGGATTATTATAGACCGTCGTATTTAATCATGCGGGGATAGCAGGGATCAGTCCATAAAGGCACAGACGCGGGGCAGTGCCATCCGTTGAGACTCAAAGAAGAGATTCAATCCTAGCGCTTTCTCGACAGCTCTGTGGACCCTCTCGTAAATAGGCTCATAATCTAGGCTTCTGACAGCATTGTGTTGGATGCTGGGAGACAATACGGCCAATGAATGTCAGTGGGAACGTATGTCCGTTGCAACTGACCGGAGTCCAATGGTTGCATTTACGCAGAAACCTTTCGGGGCATTGGCCATGCGGGAGCTTAGTCCACTACTACTCGTAATATTAAAATATACTAGAGGTAGGGTGCCTTAAGATTGCGTGTCAGGTCCTATTATATTTTGTGTACAGCTGGCAAAATTCGTAGAAGGGAAACGATATCCGAACACACCCACATGGTTCAGCAATGGCACCCTACCATAGTAGTCCAGTCCGGTTGCCCGATATAGGCGGCAATACATAAGCGATCCGTGAATGTTTTGGGGCACTCACTTGTTCTACTCTGAACACATACCTTACCTACTACTCCGTCTGCTTCCGGAGTTATTCTTACGGTTTCTCGATCTACTCTATAAGTAGTCCGGGAGCAGATTATATTATCACTTGCAATCGCACATATGATACAAATATACTAATCTTTGAACTGTATATATACTAAATGCTCTGTATATATTCTGCCTTGTCCATCAGTGTACTGGAATTATGAAAAGTAGAAGTAGTAAAATGACGGACTAGAATAGCAAAAGGGGGGAGAGATAAATGACCGTCCGGAGACTAAAGTCAATGCCTATCCAATTCTTCCTTGTATATTTTTGTTCTAACGCTTAGGCTCTTCAAGACCATTCCCTTCCTTTAATTAGGTGATAGCTAATTAGCTCATCCTTAGGGCAGAGTCTAGATTAACCACCTCATATTATATCACAACCTAAATATGCTAACTATTATACCCTAGTGCTCGGAGGCTTTCCATCATAGGTCTTTACCGAGAAAGTCCTTTATTCTTCAGATCCTGAATGTTAAGTGTGTCTTGATCACCCGGACGGCGTTCCGATTCGAGCTTTACTTTATCCTCAGGGCCTCCGGTGCCTTCATATTCGCCAGCTGGTGCCAACCTGATTATACTTAGCATCTGATCAAACCACGTAGAAGTTTAGATAAAACACCAACCTTCCACGAGAGTCTCGGGTGCCTCCCTCATCTTCAGGGATGGGTTTCCGGTTGCTCCCTGTTGCGCCTGCCTCTCGACCAGTTTTGATTCCCGTTGCTTCACGGAATTTCTTATCCGCCCTTTCGTCGATATTGGACTCAAGAACTTCATACTTCTTTAGCACTATTATTCCATACAAATAGCAAGGCTCTTCATACCAGAGTCGCTCTTCGGTCCAAGACCTTGCTTCATTTGATATGAGTTAAGGTCTTGCTCGGCGCGGGCTGCCATACGAAGCTTGTCGGAGTCGGCCATTGTGTGTTGTATGTGGATGTTCTGTAAAAGTAAAAAAAAGGTTCAAAGGAATAAAATTATTCAAATAAAGTCGTGTTTTGATTTTTAAAGAAAAATCTCGATGAGCCCAGCAACAAAGGCGCCGTTCCCAGCTATATAGTCATGATTGAAAGCTGTTCACCAGGAACACTAGAGACATTGCATCAGAATACATCATATCTATGTAACCAGAGACACTGGATGAATTGCACACTTGCTACTGTATAGAGTAACTAATCCACTTGATCCCTGGTAATGAAGATGGATCTTAACTGTGGTGATGATGTCATGTAACCAGATGCTCCCCCAGCCCTAAGTATAAGTCCCATCATGGCCTAGCACTGAGGGTCCAGCCCTAGGGCTACAGCGGAGAGGAATAACAACATCCCGAAGCGTCCCGCTAAGGCGGGGAGCAAACAATACGGGCTAATGTATACGGACAACGGAGAGAGCTCTTCGCGTGTTACTCTCCTATCAATAGAAATCTCTCACATTTCGCCACAAAATAGGACTTCAAGGACCAGGCCAAACCCCATATTCTATGCGTCCATAGTGTCTTGGAGGTTCCTCTCTTGGCTGAGATTGGGGTTTGGAGTCAATTGCTTGATAGCTATCTATAGCTCTCGCCTCCAACCCAAGCTTCCAGCCATCCCATAGTATGGCTCACGTCGTCGAGTTACCCGGGGAGTCAAACCCCTTGACTCCCCAGAATGTTCTCAATGCCTTGGTTTTGGCAGCAAGCTCGACGCAGCAGCAGGTGCACACTGGTACCCAGCAATTGCAAAACTGGGAAAAGCAGGAGAATTACTATACCTCTCTCCAGGTAATTTGATGCCGTATAATCTTTTTTAATTTTGCCTTACTTATGTGTTGCTCTTTCTATAGGATGTCTTCCTAGATCACTCTGTACCCAACGAAGTCCGATACCTTGCTATCATCCAATTGAAGAACGGCATTGATAAGTATTGGCGAAAGACCGCGACAAAGTAAGCCTATGCAGTCGCATTCCTATATCGGTGAAAGGTTGCAGTTGCTAATACTCAAATAGCGCCATCAAAAAGGAAGAGAAAGAGCAGATAAAGAACAGAGCCTTACAAGCGGGTGTCGTGGAGCCCGCTGCTCTTTTAGCATTACACAATGCATTAATGATCTCCAAGATTATGCGCTATGAATTTCCTCAAGACTGGTGCGTATCCTTTTGTTCACGTTTGGTAGCTGTTCTTCTAACTGTTTTGTCAAGGCCCGACGGTATCTCATCACTTATCAACTTCCTCCGTTCCTCAACCCAGCCAGGCGCCAGCCCATTGCAATTGCCACGGACCCTTACAATCATTTTGCAGATAATCAAGGAACTATCAACAGCCCGGTTGCAAAGGACACGAACCAACCTTCAATCTGTTGCTCCAGAGATCTTCCATCTTCTGGGAAGTATATATGTGGACAAAGTGAACAAATGGGTATCGCTTTTAGAGCAGGGTGTTGTTGACGAAGGAGCATTATTGGAGAGTCTTGAGCAAAGTCTAGTGTCTCTCAAGGTCGTTCGGCGCCTTGCGATAGCTGGATACGAACACCCCAACCGTCATAACGAAGTCAAAGATTTTTGGCTGTTAACTCATTCTCACTCCAGTCGCTTCCTTCAGTTCATCAGCGGTTCCATTAGTCTACCGGAGAATGTGCAGAAGGCGATTGAGAAGCATGTTTTACAGCTATCGAAGCTTCATGTCGAGATGGCCAAGGATCGTGCTGCCTCTTTTGCATTGCTACCAGATAGCATTCCCCTCGTTCGATCATATTGGAGTCTAGTGATTAAACTAGGAGAGAACTACGGGCAGCTAGGCGCAACTGGTGAACAAGAGGGAAAGTCGCTGATGGAAAAAGCTGGGCTCAAAGCCCTTCTTCTGATCAGAGCTTGTTCCAAAATGGCATTCAACCCAGCTCAGACCTTCAAGTACCAGACCCCTGAAGATAAGGAGGAGAAAAAGCAGTCTATTGAACTTATCAAGGCGGAACTCTTTACCCACGACTTTGTGGTCAATGTCATGGAGCTTCTCGTTACACAGTTCTTCAGGTTCAGAACAAACGATTTCCAAGAATGGGAGGAAGACCCTGAAGAGTGGGAACGGAAAGAAGAAGACGTTTCCGACGCTTGGGAGTTCTCTATTCGATCATGCTCCGAAAAGCTCTTCCTTGATCTGGTCATCCATTTCAAAGACCTGCTCATCCCGCGACTTTTAACCGTGTTCTACAACTTTGCAAGTAAGTACCTGATACCCTAAGGCGGCGCTGAACTCTGTTAACAGGATACTGCCAGGTCCCGACAATCGTGATGTGTTACTGAAGGATTCATTATACTCGGCGATCGGACTTGCCTCCGCAAGTCTCGAGCAGCATTTGGATTTCAACAAATTCTTAGAGACCACACTCGTCCCAGAAGTGCAGATTCAAGAGCAGGGCTATAACGTTTTGAGGCGGAGAATTGCCATCCTCTTAGGCCAGTGGGTCCCCGTCAAGTCGAGCGAGCTGAACACAGATGCCATCTATCAAATCTTCCAGCACCTTCTTAGCAAGCAAGACCCGTTGAACGACTTAGTAGTCCGCATCACAGCTGGTAGACAACTAAAGAACGTGCTTTATCCGTTCGAGTTCTCACCCACTGGGTTTCTGCCCTATGCGCCCTCTATCCTTCATGACCTGATGTCCTTGGTCCAAGAGGTTGAACTCTCTGAAACAAAGATGGGGCTTTTAGATACGGTCCGCGTGGCTGTAATCAAGATGGAAGACCATGTATGAATTTCCCTACCCCGCTGTACCTTCACACAAGTATGCTAATGACTCCCCAGATTACCCCATTCTCAGATCAGATATTGTCGCTGCTACCCCCGCTATGGGAAAGTTCCGGGGAGGAACATCTCATGAAACAGGCTATTCTTACCTTACTGTCATCGTTGATCAACTCCCTTAAGCAAGATTCAGTGCGATACCACTCACTCATCCTACCTCTCATTCAGAACTCAGTGGAACCAGGCTCTGTACGTTTCACCTTGCTCCTTATTGAAATAATTCGTGAAGGAATACTAATTCGCGCATAGGAAACATTGGTATATCTGCTCGATGAGGCATTAGACCTCTGGGGGGCTATCTTGACGCAAACTCCAGCCCCAGCTTCTCCTGAAATCCTTTCTCTTCTTCCTGCACTTCTCCCTATTTTTGAAGCTGCCACGGATAGCGTTCCGCAAGCCCTTCAAATCGCAGAATCTTATGTCTACCTTGCGCCGCAAGAGGTGCTGAGTGACCGAGTACGACTTCCTTTCCTCGCCTCCCTTGAGACTCTCTTGAAATCTACAACACGCCAACGCCTCGGCGTCGTGCCACGCCTAGTCGAGTTAATGGTACGTGGCACTGAGGCCGTGGATGGCGGCAGCGAAAATTCATATAATGTGATCACTCGATCGCTCCTTGACAGTTCCTTCCTATCATCTCTCCTGGAAGGCCTCTACTCCGCCTATGAGGCCAGCCAAACTACTGGACCTAACAGAAAACAAGCATCTGTGTATGGCGTCGTTGAGACGGACTACTTCTCTGTTCTTGCCCGCTTGGCACTGGCGTACCCAAAGATCTTCGCATCAGCGGTTTCCGCCGCGACGGGAACATCTGAAGAACAAGCCCTTACCTGGCTGCTCACAGAATGGTTCCTCCACTATGACAATATCGGAAGCACAACGCAAAAGAAACTCCATGCGCTTGCACTTACCCAGCTACTCAATTTGAATGGCCCAGACACACAACCACCTCCGTACATACTCAATCACCTCCAATCCTATCTCAACACATGGACAGACATCGTCACCGAGCTCGCCGAAGGGACTGAGACCGAAAATGACCCCCGTGCTGGTGACCATCTGGTCTACTGGAATAACGCAGAAACGGGCAAGTGGGATGAGAATGAACCCCCCGAAAACGAACGCAAACGTCACTGGGAAAACTCTGATATCCTCCACAAGATCAACATTCGCGACTTCATCCGAGATCGACTGCGCTCGTTGATTGTTGGATGTGGTGGTGAGCAACGATTCCAAAATGAATGGCTCCTCAACGTCGATCGCGAAGTTGTATCTGCATTTGTCGCCCTTGGGCTTTTCTAATAGAGCACTCTACTCCAAATCTTGGACTTGTTTTCTATAATTACCCTTGAGGTGGGCAGTTTCCACTCTACAATCTACTACACTTACATATCCATGCGGTCCTTGCTGCTTGCAAGAGTTCCACGATCCAAACTCAAATAGGGCTAGTGGACAGATGTCTGTTCGCATCTTGAGCCCCCGATGCAGCCAAATTGTGATGGTGGGGTGCCCATGACATTTCTATTGCGTCTTGAGTTAAAGGTGTTCATGAAGGGGAGAGAAGGCATTGCATGCAGCTTTAGTACTACTGTTATTCCCCTCAGCATATTACCATCTTAAAAAAATACAGTCGGGATCCTTTCTGGACTCGAACCTTTTCTACCTGCTCGCGAGTTCTTTTTTATGGTTATATCAGGTGACTGATCTTTCTCTTTTATCAACAAGCCTGACTGTGTGTATTGTACATGACTTTCAGCTCGAGCTTATTTTACTGCCGGACAGCGATATCATGGGTATATAAATCATGTTGTGGAAACACCTAGCTGTTGGCTAAAACACGCGCCTTTCTGCGAAATACGGTAGACCAAGCATCCGGTGACAGCTGATCGCACAGTACGTTAAAACACACAATCATCAGAGATTCCCACCCGCAGCTCCCACAATCTTAAGTCCACTAGCTCCACCACCTCCGGGACCGTCTGCTGTAGTAGAGTACGCAAGCCAATAGCGCGAGGGATGCCATGCGACGGCAGGAATGCCCGAATTCACCCCGCCACCAGTAGGAACAGTATACACGCTTTCGCCTGTTTCAGCATGGAAGATCTCAATTCCATTACCGCCGCAGCCTACTTCATCACAAGCACCGCAAATGAATCTCCCGTCGAAGCTCCAGCTTACCCCGCGGACGGCCCCACCATTATTACTAGACACGGTGCGTCGACAAATCCAATCCGATGTATCCCACAGAGAAATGAGGGCATCGCTGCCGCCGACGGCGAGATAGCGTCCTGTAGGTGCGAGGGCAATAGAAAGGCAGGCGGATGTGTGAGCATTAAGGGTGTGGAGGATGTCGAAGGATGGGTAGGATAATATTTTGACCGTGCCTTCGCCGGTGGTTGCGAAGAGGTGAAGATCAGGCGAGGTTGGTGTGGAAATGTGATGAGAAAAAGATGTTGCATTTGTTTGGACGGGCTGTGGGTGGGAATCTAGGACTTTATAGGTGGTTGGGCCTGCGATGGGTTTCTGAGACTGGGTGGATGGGACATTTAATACTCCGTTTTCGAGCACAGTTGGGGTAGAAGGCGATTCAATGGAGATTGGTATCAGAGTGTCATCCTAGTAATTAAAAATATGTCAGTCAGTCCATGTTTCAGCCACTTGTGTGCACCCTGTAAATGTTCAGAGCTCCTCACCTTCCTTCCAACCACCATTGTGCTCCCATCAGCCGACCAAGACAAAGTGAAAGCCTCGCCGCCGACATCTAGACGGCTCACACATGTCTTCGAGCGAACATCCCAGAAGCGCACGGTACCATCAGATGAGCAGCTCGCTAGTTCCGAGTCTCGAACTGGGTTAAATAAGACTTTCTCGATCCCCGCGGTGTGACCGCGGAGGTCAGTCGAGTATTTGACTTGCGCGCGTTCAGGGTTCCAGATTCGAAGGGTACGATCCGCTGAGCCTGTAGCGATAAGCTGGCCGGTGGGGTTCCATGCTATCGTTCGAATTCTACCAAGAAAGATATATATTATCAGCTTGAACCTGAGCTGGGATGTGTTGTGCAGGTGCAACAGTTTCCTTGGACGAAGACACACGTATGAGATCCAGGCGTTCGTGCAATAGGATCATGATAGCTTTGAGTCTTGAGGCTCCCGAATGAGAATGCAAATCGCTCCTTGGGGAGTAGATTGCGTCGGGGTGGTGCCATTGTTCGTAGCTGCTGTCCCTGGCGGAGTCGTGACGATGGCGGCGGTGGCAGGAGCAACCCACGTTGATGCCCCGAGGGGCTGTGGTCAATGAAAGTTGGAAGGAACTTTCGCGAAAGGGTGTAGGTAGTTACCCGGGAATTGCGACCACAATATATAGAGTACTAGTTGCGCGGAGAAATCGTCCGTTGCATATCGATGTTTGGAGTAGCGGCGGCAATGATAAAGGCGGATGATCAAGCTGGTTGGGTGCCTTGGTGCCTTAGACATTGGGAACCATGCGCCAATGGCGCATCATTAATATCAACAATTGTCAATTCGGCGCATTATGTCCCTTAGTTGTTGTGATCTGGCGTTAGAAGAGAGTTTGCGCATGTATTTATACTGGATTGTAGAGAAGTCATTTATCCACATCCTTCTGTAGTTCGAAATATATTTTCGCGACAACTTTTATCATTAGTAGTTATGTATCTAAAACAGTTTAAGAAGACAAAAAGTCAATAGGAAGCGAGAGACAGTGATAGAGAGCCTTCCTAGGAACAGCACACTTCAAATAATCATTACAAGTACATATCCCTCCCTGAAAGCGATGATTGAATTTAAAGTATTTTTTATAGAGTCGAAGATGACGGCCGAATCCGTTTACTATTGGGGGTCCATTGTCCAATCAGATGATGTCCGCTTTTTCATCGCATCCAAAGGACATCAAATTTCAATGTCTTGGAGGTCGTTTCTGACGAACTGCCAACATAACCGATCTGTTAATTCTCTCATTGATATATTTGTGATTTGCTATTAGTAAGTAAATTATCACCTGACGACATAGATAATTATCCACTGCTGTTCTTTAAACTAACAGCTTTTGACAGATTCTTCGAACCAACCACAGCGCGCCATTTGATTTGGTATCAAACTCTCGGTGCATAGGGTTATATATCATAGAGATTGCCCAAGACAAAATAATATGTTCGATCTGGAAGATGACGCGTCTAGGCGCGAGAAATGCTACACGGCAGTGGCTCAACTGCCTTGCTTCATCGACTCCAAACAGCCGCCGATGAAAAAGTCGCCCTTTTCGGCCATTTGGGGACATCCGTTCGTGCACACGGTACTTGACCCTTCTATTTCTCCATTACCACTCCCCTAAGTGATATATTCTGGCTGACCACGTACGAATAGGTGGAGGTTACATTACCTGAAGCAACCTATAAAACCATTGAGAGCTCATTAGATACTAAACTTCCCAAGCTGCGATATGCTAGAGTGTTCATGTCACTGTCGTCTCTGCTCGAGGGGGACTTTTTCAATGCTTATATCAAATCTGGTAACTAAAAATCTACTGCAATGATCCCGCTTCATTCGATGAAGAAAGATACTGTGGATGAGGGCTATTCTAACTACGTTATAGGAAATATTCTCATGATATCAGAGGGACGTTCTGGTTCAGATAATGTGTTTACTCTCAGAGATGGTATTGTATCCCCTTTCTGGACAAAGTGTTCATTTGGCAACTGTTACAGACTGACCTACCTATAGGAATCCTGAAACTAGAACTTGGAAAGGAGATATTTGAACGAACAGGTCTAACAGGGAAGCCCATTCGTAGTGGGGGCAGAAAACATACAAAGGAAAGATATCGTACGTATTTATATGTCATATCTTTACCCTATATTTACATACTCATATGTTCGGATAGTCGTGAAGATCAACCTGCGGCTGCCGTCAATGCTTCACGGTAAGAAAGGCTTTGAGAAACTAGTATGGGCATTCAAGAATGTCCTTAATCACACTGTGGCCTGGCTCTTCTATGACCTGGCATCGGTGTCGTGTGGCATTTCCTCCGGTACTATAAACCATATTCTTCACCCCTTAATTCACACACTAAAGAATGACTAGACGATCCTTCCCTGAAAGGAAACCACCCTCACATTATAGACTGCGAACCAGTGCGCACTGAATACCGTGACATACTCGTCCCACCTTTCAAGGGAATGAATATCACAGAAACGGCGCCAGAGCAGGAATTAAAGGATTATTGCGACGAAATCTCCGAATGGCTTGGAATGGTGGCCCTCGGATCCCCTCGAGTATTAGCGAGCGACGATGTAGACCCATACCTATGTCGCTATAGCATACCGGACGCCGACGAAGCAAAGCCGTCAGGTATAGTCAGTTTGAGATGGCATGGTTTCCTCTCTTCCAAATGGATCATGGAGCTATTCCTTACTCTATTGTATGTTGTTGACCTTACCCCTCAACTCCCTGTTAGTTTATCGAACATCGCATGCTGACTGCTTCATTCTCAGACAAGAGACTTCCCCGAAGGATCTAGAGGCCTCTTCCTGGTTTGCTTTCTCTGCGAGTGCCCTGGGGAGGGAAGCTGTTGAAGGAAAAGACGGTTATACGGTTCTGACATTTCCTTCTGAAGGTGGAGCTAGTGATAATGTGCAGAAGAGCTCTGGTACTAGATCTAAAATCGGTCGCTCATGTGTTTGCTGGGAGTATGTTGGCGTTTCAATTGTTTAGAAATGAAGCATATATCACACAGTGCGTTGGGTGTGTACACATCACAACTGATATTGGCCAAGAGAAATTAGAATATGAAAGTGACATGTCGACTATGCCCTGACATGTAGCCACCAAGTGGGTTATATCGACCAACACATCTTTCCCTTCAAATACTAGGGTTTGCAAGCCGTATATGTACGACTTGTTTTGTATTGTCCTTTACGATTTGTTGCAATGTAGATTTATTTGCGGATGAACAAGAAGTACTGAGGTATAGAGCGCGAATTACCTGATTCAATATATAAAGCTAACCGTATGGTATCAACTAGTATCCAAAATTTGATGTCCCAGCTGCTCCTGTCCCTCCAGTCATTGTCCCAATTCCCAGTGAATAGTATATAGAACTCCAACAAAATAATACCTACAAACAGAAACATATCCAAGAAAATACAGGAAAATGGAAAGTCTTAAATGGCTACAATGATCATCCAATAAGGTCGTTCACAACATCTTGAAGCACTGGTCTATTCCCAAGGACCTTGTTACCACTCAGCAGCTTGGCTCCCTTCTTTGCCGGCTTCCTGAGACCCTGCGGGGCATTCCGGGCTTGTGCTGGACTTAGAGGATTGCGGGCCTTCTTTTGAGAAGTAGGACTCCTCTTCGGACTGGGTGTTGACCTTTCTTGTGGCTGGCGTTGTGTATGGATGTTGTCAGAGTTAAAGACGTGATCTTCCACAGCGCCCTTTGGCAAGTCATATATCCAGCCTTGCTCTTCGACTAACTTCACATATTTGCCTAGCAGCTCATTACCGCCACGGAGGGTGCCCTTGCTTCCAACAACAAGGAGCTTTGTTCGTGCTCGGGTAAAAGCAACGTTAACCCGTCTCCAGTCACGGAGAAGATCGCCGACATGGTTGTCTGAATTGCTGCGCACGCAGCTCAGTACCACAACATCTTTATCTCGTCCTTGGAATTTGTCCGCGGTGTGCATTTCGAGATCCGGTAGGTGATGGTGCAAATTCTGTTTCAGAAGCGAAAGTTGGCTGCGATAGAACGTGATGACACCAATGCTTCGTGCTGGTATGCCGCAAGAGATGAAGGCCTCTACGAGTTGGGCGCAGAGTATTGCCTCGGTAGGGTTGACGATTCGCGACCCCTGTGATATGTCTAAGGCTGGTGTGGCCAGAGTGTCTGTGTTGACAAGGCGGGTTTTCGCAGATGGGTCGACCAAATCGCGAAGCCAGCAGCGACCCTGACTTGTACCCAAACAGAGCTGCCTTTGCCCTGGGGGTTGGAAATGGTCCAAATGAAGATGCCTGAGACCCCCGATATTGGGAACCTCCAAAGATCGCGCAGCAACCTCCTGGGTTCCACATTTGAGCTGCCCAGAGTAGATGAGGGTGTTTGAGAGGAGCATAATGTCTTTGCACATTCGATACTGATGTTCAAGGTTGACAACTGATGCCGGGTGAGAATCAGAGAGAAGTTTGAAGAGACTAACGTCGAGCCCCCCTTCCTGAGCCTCCTTATTCTGCACAAGAGGTGGCAGTTGGTAATGATCGCCGACAAGGATGAACGTCTTTGCCATTCGGACCGGACCTAAACATACAGGCAAGGTGATCTGGGAGGCTTCGTCGACGATGCAATAATCGAATATGCGCTGACTAAAAACGCTGTGGCCGATTCCAAGACAGGTTGTTGCAACAATCTGCGAGTCTTCATATGCCCCTTTAAGTTCTTCAATTGTGCTTTTGGGAACTGCCGCAAGGTCGGCGAACTGCTGAACCTCAGGATGCACCTTCGCTGCAGCCCCAATCCGTAAGATACGAATGTTGTCATCCCGAATCTTCAAAAGTATGTTGTCAACTGCTGTGTGAGTGTACGATGTTAGAAGCACACTTTTCCCTTGCGATACTAATGCCCGAATTATGTGGGCAATAGTTGTCGTCTTGCCTGTCCCTGGCATTCCCAATACCAAAGCATAGTCTTTAGCGCTCATCACTTTATCAATAGCTCGTTTCTGATCAACATTCAAGCATGCCCTGTCGGTGTCAGAGACCTTGTACCCGAACAATGTTGGTTGGAATGTGGGAGCGGATCCTTCAACGATCAGCCTCCTAAGATTCTTGGCTTGGAACAGGTCTCTTTCCATCATACCAACTAAATTTGCTCGAACAATGGCCATGCCATTACTGAACTCGTCTTTATCCAGTCGGTAAATGACCTCTTCTTCTGGTTCATTTGATGGATTCGAGGAAGCAGCATCGGCGCCAGGGATTTCCATTATGCCCCTGAATGTCTGATTTATTTTGGCATCGAAGCCTTTGGACTTGGTTCTGGCATTATGCAGTCGGCGATCCACTGCGACAGAGACACGTTGGGGACTGACTTGCACGACATAGCCATTTGCAAGCGCAAAATGACCCTTTTCATCAGATATCACGATCGGCTCTCCAACTGTGAGCTGTGACTCAGTAAAAGAGAAAGATGGTGCTAGCCGCCGTTTCACAAAGGTATAGCGATAGCGATTTATCTTTACCCCATCCTTGTCTTCAAAGGCTGACCAAGGTTCGATTACAATGTCGCCGAAGCACCGACCGAGAGCTTCCCGCTCACTGCTTAGCAATGTCCAAAGCTCCCGCTTAAATCTCATCATACTTTGCTCCTCCTTTGTGAGCAGATCATCCCATTTTCGGAAAAAGTCACGATCCTTGGATGTCAGGTGGTCCATGGCCTTTACGAACTCGTCGCCGAGTCCGCTTGATTCGCCGTCGCCATCATCAACCAGCTTGTGATAGATAAAGCAAGGCGTCTTGGAGAAGCATTTATTACACAAAGCCTGCCTTTTAACCATGGGTGGTAGTTGGGTTCTTCGGCACATATAGCCAGCTACTCGATTTCGCGCCTGAATCATCTGGAGGAGCTCATGACGAATGCCGCGAATACGGAAAATTCTCGACGTCTCGAGGTAATAGAGAAGGCCGAATGTAACTTCCACATCTGATGAAGATAGGTCAGGTTAGAATAAGCGCAGTTGTTCGTGACAAGTCCTAGGCTCACCGTAGCGATCAGAAAGCAAAAGTGTATAGAGAGCCGTCTGAGCCCTATGAGCATGATTTGTGTCCCTGTTACCCGTCTTAAGCTCAAGGGGCACAACCAAGTTCTTGTCGCTCTCGCCATCATGGCAGGCAACTTGTACAGTGGCATCGATATTGCCTTTTAGACCATACATCGGAGACCAAATGTGTTCTTCAACCTCAAGTAGCTTGTTGATGCTCAGGCGGAGCTTGGAACTATTTCGGTCTTCAACAAGGGATTGCGCCTATTGGTAAAGATGAGTACGCATACCGTCGTAAGTTGCTGAAAATTCCACTCACACTTGGCTTTGCCTTGAGGAAAGTGTCTGCCCATGACATCAGGGCTGGGATTTTGCCCATCACATAATCGATGGCTTCAGGAATGCTCATGTGAATCAAGTACAGTTCCTCAATATGCTTCACAATGACTATTTCAACCAAGCATCTCAGTGAAGATATATTCCATTGATTGGCCTTCATTGCCTCTTGGAAGACTTCATGGAAAATATTTCCAAACACTTGGGGCTTTCCAATGTCACCGGTGTTTTTTATACGGTCCTGAAGCACAGCCCGCCGCTGACAACCAATCGAATCCGCGACAACTGTCGCCGAAACTAGATGGTCCGGGTGAAGAATGATCATATTGTGGGAATCGTTGACGATGCAATGGCCTGCTGTATCAAAATCGCCGATTAAGTGAATATAGGAATCCTTGCAGCATGGACTATCAAACCATGATTCCCGCAGGGCAACGACCTTTTTCTGAGTGTTTCTTTCATCTTGTACTAACAACACCTGATTACAATGTCAGCTTCTACCTGTGAGGCTTCTAGAGTATCCGATGGCAAACCTTTTCTGGCTGGAGGCGTCCCTTTTCAGTGGTATAGGTAGACTCAGCAATATCAACAATCAAGTAGCGCTTGATGGCTTGTCGACTAAAGTTCTATTTATAATACACTTAGCAAATATCTAGTAAATATACCCACTAAGAGTGACAAACATAGTTTGATCCATCTGCACCTGACTGCCTCATAGACTGCTCGATAGCCTCCATGTCAAAGTCATCGTCCTCAAATTCGTCACCAGAGGATTCCCCCCGTGGCACGCTCATCCCTTGGGCTGGCTTCACCATTATCGTAGACGAGCTAGCGGTGCCACTTCCAAGTCTAGATAGGTTGGAGGCCGTATTATTCTTTGAGATGGGTCTCACTAGCTTCGTACTTGGAGCTGCGTCGCACTCGGCAAGGATATCATCTATATTATCCGAAAACTCATCAAATTCATCGTCGTCAATGTCAACCGTATTGAGAGAATAGTCGGTTTTCTCGTTAGGCCCCGCTTCCGAATTCAGAGTCGTTGCATGAGCGTAAGGGTCTTGCTTTTCATCATGTGGCTCGTGGGCGTTCGTCAAAAGGAATGTGGTATTTCCTCCAGTATCCATTGCGCTTGGTAGGCTACCATGTTCAACAAATGGATCCATAGAGGCTTCCGCAAGTTCAAGGAAACCTTGATCAAAGTCATCGTCCCCGAACTCGGACGAAGAGGCGTGCTCTTTGTCTTGGGGTTCAGGATAGACCTCATTGACCTTGTTATCCTGATTTGATTTAGATGGAGAATGATGGCCAGGTCTATCTTGCATGGGAGACGCTGACCGACTTCGTTGCATGCCTTTGCGTCTAGGCACAGGCGATGAATCCTCTGCGGGATTGTGGATTTTCGGTGACTTTGGCGCATTTCGGAGACTCTGTTCGATCCTTTCCACGAGAAAATTGATTTTAGACGAATTGATACCTCCAGAGTCAACGACATTGCTTTTTGTCCGAGAAAAGATGCCGCGGCCTGTGCCAACGCCTCCACCATCGATCCTCCTTCGTTTAGCTTTAGAACTGGGCCATTCGGCGTTGCAACTATTCGACCGTCTTAAGCCAGAGGAATCGCGACCTGTCCTAGCCGGTGCGGGAGTCTGTGGAGAGGAGGAAAGGAGGTGTGTGAATTGAGGTGGTGGTAGAGTTCCATTGCCGTTGGCAGTGAATTTACCTACATAGTTGTTCCATAGTTCGGTTGCGAGGTCGTTCTGTGGAGTCCTTTGAAGTCCGTGCAATGATGAATGCATGTCAAGAGACTCTTGACCTGCGCCTTTCGAATTTCCAGCTAAGGGCGAACTGGTTGGGGAAGAGATATGCCGGCGTTTCCTGGCTTGTGTTGCAGGCGTTTGAGACATCGTGTCCGGATTTGAACTCGCAGGGACATGCTGCCAAATAACATAGTCTTCAGGTGTAAACTCTTGCGCTGGGGCTTGGCTAATGGCATCTTCAGCATTGCTAATCAAATCTGCCAATGGAATCCTATTTCCCGGAGTCTGAGGACATTCCTTGGCTGTCTTCGCATCTGGTTTATCATCCGAAGCTTCTATTTTAGTTAAATCGGCTTGATCTGACCGAGTAACACCATTCAACCACGAGGATTGATTCTCCTTGTTCGTATGTGCTGGCTTTATGGGCGATTTGGGCGGCGATCTCTTAGATGGTGATTTCTCAATACTTTTATCATCTCTGATGTACCGAAAAGCATTCAGCTCCGAGCGGGAGTTCGAGGAAATGGTATATGAATTGGTGTTCTTATTCATGGGGTTCATAGTTAGAGCTGCTCGTCTTTCGTACGAGAGCAGCAGAGCATCTCGATTAGTCTTAAGTGGATATTTAGCAATGGAAAGCCTGCCTGGCCTGCAGAGAATGTATACCGGTTAGTCAACGTACTGGGACGAAGGATAGAGAAGACAGTTATTACAATTCTGGAAAATCAATTCAAGGAAGTGACATGCATGAATCTAACTTAAGTAGGATTTGTGTCTTGACGCATGCAATCGCATGAATCATGGACCTAAGATGTAGATGCGATAAGGGAATCGCTAGACGCGTCGCGCGCGTTGGTGGTAGTATGCCTCAGGCAAAACTATGCCTTAAATCGCAGGCACGAAGACGGTATGAGAACTGACCTGATTGGGACTAGCGCAATGACTCCATCGGCCTTTTGCGGCTTCTGAACATCAACCGCTGTTCAAACCGTCACCCCTCCAACTTAACGCCTCCTGCGCCTTCAACGACAGCGGTCGGATCAGGAACTGATCAATTGGACAGACTATTATCATCGCTGGCCGAAGGAACACCGAATTTGACGTTTTAACCCCACCGTCCTTGCCTACTGGAATCCGACAGGGGCCTCAACCCGCCACCGCCTGTCCCTTATCATCGACTGCTTTAAGGACCAGGAATTCGTTATATTCTCCGCTACTCTTCATAGCCGCAATGTCTGCTCGTACTTTGACGCACAGCCTTCGCGCCCGCTGCCTTTTGCGCAGGCCTCAGAACGTTCAGGGTTTCTCGACTCGTACCAACCTCCGTGCCGCTGATCATGGAGATCACTACGACCCTCCGACTGGGTGGCTTTTCGGTGTCAAGCCAGGCCAGAAATACGTGAAGGAAGGCTGGGAGAACATCTGGTACTACGGATTCATTGGCAGCTTGCTCGTTGCCGGTGTCGCATACGTTTTCAAGCCAGACACCTCGTACGTTAATCCCTTGCGCTTCGGCTCGCTATTATCAACAGAAGCCGCTATGCTACATGAAATGTGAAAACCTACTAGTGCATAAAACTAACTTCCTGGCAGGATACAGACATGGGCTCTGGAAGAGGCACGGCGGAGACTCGAAGCCGAGGGTATCCTGGAGGACCCCGAGAAAGCTCAGAGGAAGTAAGGGACAAATTTGTTCTGAGTATTTCCTTGTACATTGTACATAGAGCGGTCGGACATGGAAAACAGTTTCGGATGAGATGTTGTACCTGTGCTAGCGGA